CAGCCAAGGTTCCTCTGCTGGAAGAACCAGCCCAGCTCACCTCTTTGCCAACACTGACCCACCAGGTCCCCCTGGGCTCTGGGTTTGAGGAAAGAAGGAGCATGAAAGCAAAAGGTTTCCTGACCTTCCATCCAGTTGGCTCCAGTGGAGATGCTGGAGAGAGCAAAGAAATAAGGACATTTCTGATTTTCCAGGAGCCAAAGGTCCCCTGTGCCTGGGGGGCAGGAGGGTCCTCCCCTGAGAGACCCACCCCAACCACCAGAACATGGAGAAACAGGTCAGGTGGCTAAAATTGGGGAGGAAAAACCCCTCCTGGACCTCCCACAGCCCCCTGGTCCCCCAGGCAACGAGATGGTGGAACCTTCCTGGGGAAGAGAGTCTGGGGGTGAGGATGGACATTCCCAGGGCTGTGGAGCCACAAAATCCTCATCCTCATCCTTTGGGCTGTGTGGACATCTAGAGGCTTTGCCAGGAACGGCACAGGAGCCGGGGTGGGTTCCAGCCCCTTTCTCCTGCCCTCTGGAAGTTCCTTGGCCTGAACATCTTGCTAACAAAAAAAAAACACAACAACCCCGAGTCCATCAGGGAACACCCGGGGAACTTTTTCTGGGGGCTTGAGAAGCTGTTTGGAGGAGCTGCCTCTGATCTGGGGAGCTCTGGTGGGGGGCTCAGCAGCTCTGGTTTGTGGTGTGGCCAAGGGGCTTGGGCCAAGGGCAGGGAGGGGTGGGATGAGGGGGAGGGATGAAAAGTGGGAGAGGGAGCTGGAGGTTGGAGCTGAGGAGGGAATTGTGGAGTGTGAGGGTGGGGAGAGCCTGGGCCAGGTTGGCCAGGGAAGCTGTGGCTGCCCCATCCCTGGGGGTGTTGAAGGGCAGGTTGGATGGGGCTTGGAGCAGCCTGGGCTGCTGGGAGGTGTCCCTGCCCATGCAGGGGGTTGGATCTGGATGATCTTTAGCTCATGGAATGGTCTGGGTTGGAAGGGACCTTAAAGATCACCCAGATGATCCATTCAATGATCTTCAAGGTGGCTGCTCCATCCCTGGAAGTGCTCAAGGATCTAATGTGGGGTTTGGAGCAGCCTGGGCTGGTGGGAGGTGTCCCTGCCCATGGGGGGGGTTGGATCTGGATGATCTGAAGGTCCCTCCAACCCAACCCATCCCATGATTTCTCTAACTACTAGAAATCAACGTATCCTGGGATCCCAGGTTGGAAGGAGCTCAAGGATCATCTGCTCCAACCCTTCCTGGCTCGGTAAGTGGGACAGGATGGAAGGGGAGCAGGTTGTCCCAGATCCCTCCCACCTCCCACCAGCTCTGGCTGCCAGGGAAGGTGAAACCCAGGACTGATCCAGCCTGGGAATTCCCTCCTTCCAGCCACCTGGGCTGGGCAACTGGATGAAGAACAACCCAAACTGGGTTTGCTTTTGAAAATCCTGACCAGGGGGGGTGGTGTTTTGTTTTGTTGTTTTTTTTTTAGCAGGTGACAAATGCTTCAGGAACCTTCAGGGCTGGATCCAAGGGCTCCTGACGTCAATGGAAAGGCTCTGGTTGACATCAGTGGGGCTTGGATCCCAGCCCTACGTTCCACTTCTTTATTCCAGCCTGTGATCTGTCAGGAGGGACAGGAGGAGGCCTTTGTTCCTACTTGGAGCCTTCAACAGGTCTCTGAGAGGTCTGGATTCCTCTGCCATCGTGCAGCTGAGGAGGATGGAAGGATCTGGGGAAGAGGTGGGAACAGATTTGAGGTTGTGTCTGTCCCCTCTGCTGGATCCTGGCCAGGGTGCAGCTCAGGTGGCCTTGGCAGTGGCTCCCCTGGCCCTGCTGCAACCAGCATCAGAGCTGCAGAGCTCCAGGAGCTGCTCAGGATGGTCCAGGTCACCCCTTCCAGAGAGCTCTGGGCCAAGTCATGGAGTCACAGAACCATGGGATGGGCTGGGTTGGATGGACCCTCAAGATCCAACCCCCCCTGCATGGGCAGGGACACCTCCCACCAGCCCAGGCTGCTCCAAACCCCACATTAGATCCTTGAGCACTTCCAGGGATGGAGCAGCCACCTTGAAGATCATTGAATGGATCATCTGGGTGATCTTTAAGGTCCCTTCCAACCCAGACCATTCCATGAGCTAAAGATCATCCAGATCCAACCCCCTGCATGGGCAGGGACACCTCCCAGCAGCCCAGGCTGCTCCAACCCCATCCAACCTGCCCTTGGGCACTGCCAGGGAGGGACAAGTCCTCTCCTTGAGGAGTGTCTGGTCATCTGGTTTAGTTTTGGGTGGTCCCACCAGGAGCAGGGTGTTTGGGCTCCTCATGGATCCCTTCCACCTTTGTGGCTCCTCCAGCTTTTGGGGCTGTCAGGAGGGTGATGTGCTGAGGGGTCTGGAATTGCCCTTTCATGGGCAGACCCGGGGCACTCAGCTCTTGTTTTCCATGTCAGCAAAGAAAGCCCTTGGAGCCCAATTCCTTGTCCCCTTCCCAGGTGGGATGTTCAGGAGCAGTTTGGGCAGAGGGATTCTGAGCTGTGCAGCCCTGGCTGGAGCCACCTCCATCACCTCCCTATTGCTGGTGGGTCTGGGGGTTTCTTCTCTCCTCATTTTGTGTCTGTGGAGGGGACAAGAGGCTGGGTCTGCTGAGACCCTCCCCTCTCCCTGAGGAAACCCCCCTTTTCCCCATGGATTGTCTCTGTGGGGCCCTCAGATTCCATGTGAGAAATCCCTGGGGGGGTGGCAGTGACACCATCCCTGGCAGCTCCTCCAGAGCTTCTCCTTTGCCCCCATCCCCCTTGGAAGGGACCACCTTTGCTCCCTCCATCCATCCCATTTCCCTGAGAAGCTCCAGCCCCTTCAGGGGGATTCCTGAGGATTTCATTCCATGGATTTCCTGGGGTGGGTATTTATAGAGCCCTGAGCAGGGGCTGGAGGGGGGGACACACATTATTCTTGTCTTCACCTGCTGCTGCCCACCAAGGAAACCAAGAGCCAGATGACAGGAAATGAGGGCTTCAAAAATAGACACCTTTTAATGTCAGAACCTCCAGGGCTGAGGCAGAGCAGCCACCACACGAGGAGGAAACAGGGTGGAGAGATCAAAGAACCTTCTCTGCATTTACTCCTGGTGCCCTTGGCAGGGGAACCAGGGAAAAGAAGAACAAACCCAAACCCAACCGACCCAAGAAGCTGCAGCTGAACCAGAAGTTGAGCTGGAAGAACCTCCCTTGGTGGCTCAGTGGGTCCTTCATCCCTGCAATTCTCAATCCTCTGCCTCCACCAGGCTTTGCCAGGCTCTTCTAGCAGCTCCACGGGGTGGGAATGGCCAAGTTTGGGTGGGAATGGCCAAGTTTGGGTGGGAATGGCCAAGTTTGGGTGGGAATGGCCAAGTTTGGGTGTGACCCTTCTTTGGTTCAGGAAAAAGAGAGTCTTTGCCTACAGAAGATGGTTCCTATCACCAGAAGCTCTGGCTGCTTCACCTCTTCAGGATACAAATCCTCTACATTTGGCCTCATCTCTCTGTCCATGTACAAGTGCCAGGGGCTCCCCTGCCCATCCCAGCACTCAACTGGTTCTTTACCAGCTCCCAGTGGGTTCAGTCTTCCCGGTGGATTCTCTTCTCCAAGGGAAATCCACAGTCTGGGCTGGGGTGTGAGAGTGACAGAGGAAGTTGGGCCCAAGGGACAGGAATTCCAGGGGGGGGAGGATTTTTCTTCCTTGAAACTCAACCCTGGTCCCAAGTCCCCAGCTGGCTCTGCTGAGTCCCAGGCAGGGGCTGCTTTTCCCAGACATGGAAAAACAGCAACAGGAGCCCAAAATTCCCAAGCTCTGCTGCTCCTCACGCTGGGAATCAGCTCCTGCCAGAGCCAGAGGGAGGAGAATCCAGTGCAAAATGCTGGAATTCTGCCTCAAAAAGATCTCAACCCTTGGTCCCACCATTCCCAGAACCAACGTTCCCTTTCCTCTCTGGGAGCAGCTGGGCCAGGGGGGCCCCAAAACCCACCCAGTGACATTTGTTTGCTGGAGAAAAGTGGGGATCTGGGCTCTGAGCCAAACCTGTTGGGGTCTGGGAAGCTCCTGAGGGACAGTCTGCTGGAAGGGAGGTGGGAAGGGAGATGGTGGAAGGGCTTGGAGGGGCTCAGGGGGTTTCCAGATGTGTCCTCAGCACCCCCCATGTTTCTTTTTCTTGGATACATCTGCAAGGTCCTGGTCTTCAGAGAGAAGAAACGGCCCCAAATCCCACAGGGAAGTGTGACCTGCACCTGGGAGAGGAGCAGGGTTGGGCTGGTGCTGTGCCTGGATGCAAACCAGGGGCTTCTTGTTGTTCCTCTCCAGCCCTGCCCTCTCCAGAGGCCTGGAGCTCTGAGCCCTGGTGGCCACGGAGATCCTTGATCCTTGGTGGGGCTTCTCTCTTCATCTGCACAGAGCCCTGGGACAGGCTGTCCTGAGAGGTTGTTGAGTCTCCTCTGGAGACATTCCAAACCCATGGGCTGGGTTGGGCTGGAGGGACCTTCAAGATCATCCAGATCCAACCCCCTGCATGGGCAGGGACACCTCCCAGCAGCCCAGGCTGCTCCAAGCCCCATCCAACCTGCCCTTCAACACCCCCAGGGATGGGGCAGCCACAGCTTCCCTGGGCAACCTGGCCCAGGCTCTCCCCACCCTCACACTCCACAATTCCCTCCTCAGCTCCAACCTCCAGCTCCCTCTCCCACTTTTCATCCCTCCCCCTCATCCCATCCCTCCCTGCCCTTGGCCCAAGTCCCTCCCCAGCTTTCCTGGAGCCCCTTCAGGCCCTGGAAGCTGCTCTAAGGTCTCCCTGGAGCCTTCTCCTCTCCAGGCTCAACACCCCAACTCTCCCAGCCTGTATGAGATGTGTTCCTGTGGGTTCTACTGGAGGTGCCCGTGTTCTACCAGGAGGTTGGACCAGATGATCTCCAGAGGTCCCTTCCAACCCCCCCTCTCTTGCTGGGCTCCCCCCAGTCCTGGCTCCCGTGTCGCCCAACGGCGGCGACAGCTACAAAACAGCCCAAAAACCGGCGAGGAGGAAGAAGAGGAGGAAAGATGAAGACACACAGGAGCCACCTGCCCCAGCCTGGAAGATGTGGAGTCTCTCCAGATCGGGAAGGAAGACCCTGGCATCCTCCAGAGCCCCGTGAGCTGCCAGGGTGAAGTTGGCATCTCCCGAGGTGACCACGTCGAAGACGCACGAGTGGAAATAAACGTCCTCGACGGGCAGCAGGTCCTTGCAGAGGGCTCGGGCCACCTCAGCCTCCAGGTTCCCCCTGCAACCGGGGCTGCGGGGCAGGCGTTGGCTGTGGGGACATCCCCCCACGCAGAGCTGCAGGTCCTGCTCCTCCGTGAAGGCTTTGGCCACCTCCTCAGCTGCCCGGATGGAGAAGGAGAGTTGCGGCCCCGCCTGGCGCACGGCGATGGTGGTGCCGATGTACCCGGCCCGGATCTCCACGTGCTGCCCAGGAACGTGTTCCAGGATGGTCAAGCTGCTCCCACCTGGACGTTCCCCACCGTTGACGGACCCGTCTTGGAAGGCTGAAGGGAGGTTGTCCAGTTCTGCTTGGTAGACCTTCTGGTCGATGCATTCCTTCATGTTCTTGAAGATGATGGTGAGCTGTGGGGAGGGGGATTCAGCTGAGCTGCTGGGGGGGGGGAGCCTGGGGGGTCTGTCCCCACCCCAGCTGGGGGTGGGAGGGCACAGCAGATGCCACCTCTCCCACTTTGCTGCAGCCCCCCAGGGGAAGCACCAGTGGTTCCTGCTTCCCTTCTTTTTCTCCCTGTCTTTCTTTAAGCGTCACTTCAGCGACAGAAGAGGGAGATGATGGAGCCAAACTGGGGTGAACTTCATGCAGGGAACCCCAGGACCACCCTGGGACCCATCCCCAGGCAGCAACGGGAGAGTTTGGAGGCCTCTCTGGTCCTTTCAAGGACTTTCATCCCACTTATTCCTGCAGGCACCCATTCCTGAAGCCACCCCTGCCCTCCCCAGCACCCGGAGCAGTTTCTGCATCCCAGAGGTTCGTGGCTTTGCTGCCAAGTGTTCCATGGAGTCATGGGATGGGTTGGGTTGGAAGGGACCTGGAAGACCACCTAGATCATCCACTAGATGATCTTTAAGGTGGCTGCTCCATCCCTGGCAGTGTCCAAGGGCAGATTGGATGGGGCTTGGAGCAGCCTGGGCTGCTGGGAGGTGTCCCTGCCCATGGGGGGGTGGGACTGGGTGGGCTTTAGCTCATGGAATGGTCTGGGTTGGAAGGGACCTTAAAGATCACCCAGATAAGCCATTCAATGATCTTCCAGGTGGCTGCTCCATCCTTGGAAATGTTCAAGGATCTAATGTGGGGTTTGGAGCAACCAGGGTTGGCAGGAGGTGTCCCTGCCCATGCAGGGGGTGGGACTGGATGATCTTTAGGTCATGTCCCAACCCCCCTGCATGGGCAGGGACACCTCCCAGCAGCCCAGGCTGCTCCAAGCCCCATCCAACCTGCCCTTCAACACCCCCAGGGATGGGGCAGCCACAGCTTCCCTGGCCAACCTGGCCCAGGCTCTCCCCACCCTCCCATCCACCTTTACCTTCCTGGTGACCGTGGCGTTGGAGCCCTTGGCCACGGGCGAGCTGGTGGCTTGGACAAACAAGTAGTCATTGTCCAGGAGAGGCCAGGATCCCTCCACCCTGCAGGTGTGGAACTCATCGTGGAAGGTCCTGATGTGGGGGTCCCCGAAGGCGGCGCAGTGCTGGTACCGGGGGAGCTGCCCGTGCTTGTAGGCAAAGCTCTTCTCATAGTCACACATCTGGAGGGCCCGGAAGCTTTGGTGGTCGGGGTTGGGTGGCCGGGGCCTCGGTGGGGAGGTGGGACCTTCCTTGGAGCAGTTGTGCTGGATCATCAGGTCCTCGATGCCATGCACGGCCGAGTGGAAGGCGAGGTCCCCGCGGCAGGTGCGCGCGGTGCGGCGGGTGCAGAGCGAGTAGGAGCGCAGGGCCTGGCACCGCGCGCCCCGCGCGCCCCGCGCCTGGGAGCTGGAGGCCACGTACTCCGAGTTGCAGCGCAGGATCC